TGGCTGAATTTCCAGGAATGACAAAGAAATGATGAACTTAAAAGACAGGTCACGTCAGGGCTGCCTTAGCAGCATTGGGCAACCGGCAGTGCCCTCCCAGCCTCTGCCAGAGAGTTTTTGTTAGGGAGAGGAGATTAAATAAGGGGAATTGGCTGCCCTGAATAGCCCTGATCTCTGCTGCTGGCTTTCTGCAGTCAAAGGAAAGGTCCCAGGACCCTGGATCCTTTCAGGCTTTCTCCTGGGAGGGCAGAACTGGGTTACAGAGACTTCCTTGCTTTCCAGGTGGTTGTGTTGCTGCGAGAACGTGCTCTGCTCCGATTTTGCTGCTTCTCCCTGGGCGACTGCGCTGTGTCGTCACATCCACGGACGGGCTGGAGGAAACTGAGGAGGCTGGAGGGTTTTAGGTGGCTCACTGCTTCCTTCTCGTCTTGGGATGATGTGCAGAGCCTGCTCTCGTACCTCCCTCAGGTTCTCCAGGACACAAGTGGCTGTAAGGGCACTTTTCGTACCCCATTGTGGATGTGCCGTCACTCATGTTGTCCCTAATGAATAATAAAAATAATAATAATACTAATAATAATAAAAAAAAAGCGTTGCTAAGGCAAACCTGGTGGGTAGGATACGAGGCTGGAGCCGTTCCTCGGCACGTGTCCTTTCCCCCGTGGAGCCTGCGCCTCAGTGAACCAGGTCAGCGTGCAGCCCTGAGGATGGCTGTGAGTTGGTAGATGCTTTCCAAATCCTCCTCCTCCTCCTTCCACAACCTGCTCCGCTGCTGTCCCCTGAGGCTGCACGGGATGCAACCAGGGATGCAGAGCCTGGCAGAGGAACTCGAGCATCCTCTTTGGAGCTGTTCTGGGGATGGAAAGAGTTTTAAAATTAAAAGTGGGGTTGTCTTGTGCAAGAGGGATGTGCTTGGCTCATCTGTGCCCGAGGTAAATCCAGCTGGATTTACAGAGTCCTCTGCAGCTCAGAGGCTGGGACGGGAATGAACTTCTCCTACTCGCTAAGCTCAAAAAGCTGCTCTCTAGCCTGACTGCTGGGGAAAAATGCAGGATCAACCACTGAGACTGGCACACCCAGCAGTCAGAAGCGGCTGACTCGTTTAGACGGTAGCAGTCCAGATCTGGAATCTGTTTGCCCTTCCTATGTTGTAATAATTAAACACGCGAGGCTGTATGTGCTGGGGGCACGTGTGCTGCTGGGTTTGGGACTGCCGGGCCAACATGCCCCTTAAGGTTACATATATATACATATATATAAGGTACCTTATAATGTAGGGAGAAGCTCATTGAAGCTGATTCGCTTCACGGTGGTTTTGGGATGCACCGAGCAGTGCAGCCAGACGGCGTGGCCGGTGTTTGCCTTGGGAGACCCCGGGGGTCCCTAGCACCTCTTTTGACTCTTTTTGGGATGTGGTGCTGTATCAGCAAGGACGATGTTCTCACACCTCCTGCCCAACCAGACCCAGCACCTGGAGGAGTGGTTGGAGCTGAAAATGAGTGGCCGTTATTGGGAAGAGTCGGATCTGCGTGGGAATGGGCATGGTCGCGCCAGGTTTCGCAAGGAGGGAGAATGTACTTCTGGCTTGGCCAGTGTGACTGGGAGCGGGCAGCGTTCAGTGCTGCTTTGCAAAAACTTGGCAGGACATGCCAGATCCTGGTGTTTTCCTACAGGGCATCTCCCCCCAAAAATCCCTGATGTCCCAAGCAAGGAACTGCTTGTTTGGCACGGGGCTCCATCAGGCTCTGTTTCTGTGCAGAGAAATCGGTGCTGTGTTGTTTTGCCTCCTTGGCCACGGATTGCTGGGACGAAGAAATATTTTCCTTGCTCTTAAACCCTTGTGCTCCACCCGGTTTGAAAAGCCGCTTCTAGCAGGATGAAGTTTGGGGTGTGATTCGCAATCGTGCTCTCCGCAGGCGGACGGTCCCAATCCCCAGTCCCCTGTTGTCACAGCCAGCCCGGCTTTGGTCAGCCACAGCCGACTCACCCGCAGCCCCCGGCCGGGAATGCCGTTCATTCAAATTCCCATGGCAAGCTGAGGGATTATGAGATTTTCTCTGTCACCTTAATGCAGCTGTAGAGCCCGGCACGTCGAAGGTAACGTGGCCAACAGTCACGCACATCACAAGTCGGCTCCGTCGCTTTGCCTGGCTGCAGCACCCGCCATCCTCCCTCATCTTCCTCTCGGCTGGTTGCCGGACGCTGCGTTAATTTGCCGGGCTTGGAGGGGGTTTGATGTGCGAAGGGTTCGTTTGATTCAGAAGCTGCTTGCGATGTTTGATGATAATTTTAGACAGGGCAGATTTTGCTAAGCTGTGGAGTTCAGATGAGCTCTGGCAAAGCCACGATGGGGATTACTGTGGTTAATTCAGCACTTGGTTTCTTTAGCAGTGATTTCTTTTTTTTTTTCCACTTGAATTCAAACCTCCCATTTCTAGAACTGCTGTTTCTCTTAAAAAAAATGGGACCGTGCCTTGGAGCTGGCTCAACGCCCACGGCCGGGCCCCCAAAAGGGGTGATGGTGTCCAGCAGATCCCTGCTGTCTTGGTCGTGTGGGGATGACATGGGGCTGGGGAGTGCAGCAGCCCTCCATCCCCACCCTCTCCTTCCCATCGCATCCCAAACGAGCTTTGCTCCACGAGACCATCCTGGCAGCACATCCCGGCAGCACGTTTCACTGCAGGGAAGCGCCTTGGCCTGGGGTTCCCGTGTCCTGGATGTCCTGTAAACAAGGACAGATGCCCACCTGCACCCTGGGCCGGAGCACCAAAGCCTGGGTTTTCTGTTTTTTCCCTCCTGAGTTCACCTCTTCCCTGGAAACCTTTCCCTGAGAGAGGGAAAATTCCTCAGCTAACACTTTAAGCTGTTTTAATGCCAACAGCTGTTTTATGGGGCACGTTTACATCCTCTGGTTTGATGAGTTGCCAGAGGAAGAGCTGGGTGCGAAGAGGTGGAAATCTTGCTGTTCTGAACCTGCTGATTTCTGCATCCCCCCACCCCGAGAAATGCCTGTGAGCAATGCGCCAGCATGGAAGTGGCACAAACCTTTCTCAGGCTGTCCGGGGAAGACTGACCTTGAACAAATTCCAGCAATATCATTTCTTGGTTGGGAAATGGCTGTGCCTGCCAGCTCCTGCCCTGCGCCCCGAGGACACCACTGTTACCTGCCTGGTGTTGCTTGCTGGAAGTGCTTCTGCACCTCTTGTCGCGCAGTGCTGTAGGTTGTGATGCCCTGCAGTTCCTCCCTCTGCACCAAGTGACCTAAACCAGTTGCAAAACCAAACCTGCAAACTCCAGTTAGCATTCCCATTCCTTCCAATAATGCAAATTCGTGCAATTTTGCACCAGAATCACACGGCGTTTGCTGGGAAGTCTGGTCTGGGAAGCGGATACCGGGCTGTAACATATCCAGTATGGAGGAGCTGGCTACAAACCTTTTAGCAGCAGCACCCACAAAAATGCCCGGGATGCCTGCCTGGGTGTGATGGTGGACTTGATCTGGTCCTAGTTTGTTCCCGGAGGGGATGCTGGAGTCACCTCCATCACACCACGTCACCCCGTGTGTCCTCCCTTGGACTGAGCAGGGGGTTTGATGTCCCTGTTACCCCCCCAAAGCAGAATACCAGCGCTGCTTTTGGCCCATCAGCTGGGTTCCTCCAGGAACCGTGGCTCCATTTTACAGCCCAGATAGCCCTACTAATGCTGCAGTCACCCCAGCCCCAGACTATGCAGATTCCTCCTTTCTGGGATGGATCTTCTCAACTAAATTGTTTCGTTCTTCTCTCCTTGAAGGCTGTTTCCCGCATCAAAGCTTTCGGGGAGCTTTTGGGATCGCTGCGGCGTGGAAAACCCCTCCTCGAGGCCACTGTGGCCTGTCTCTTTCCATCAGCTTGATTTCTTCAGGACTCTTCTTGAGGTCTCCTGGGTCTGTGGGGATGCTTTGTTAATCCCGCTCCCTGCGATGACGTCTCATCCCTGTTAAGTGGCAAAATTAAATCCTGCAGCGAACGCCATCAGAGGGAAGAGGCCGCGCTGGGGCTCTTTGTCAGGGTCTCCTGCATGGCAGCGTGCCAGCGAGGGGGGGCATCAGGCTGGATTTGCCGGCGCTTTTCCTCATTCCCTTTCATCTCCATTGTCTTTCTCTTGCAGAAGCAGCAATAAGGCTTTTTGCTGGCTGGTCACGCGGGATGAGTGCAGCAGCAGAGCAATTTGGGGCTATTTTTCTCCTCCTTTTGGCCCAATGGGCTTGAATTTGATGAGGTGGTGGTAGGTGCCGGAGCCTTGAGTTGCCTCTAGCTGAGGGAGGAAGGAGGGGTGGCTGGTTTAGGGCTTCTCTTACAATAGAAACATCTATAACGCAGAGGAGACTGAAAGGCAATGCAATGTCAACTACTTCTTGTTGAAATGTTCTCTCTTGCTGAGTTCTTTCCCCCCGCCTGGCTTTTACTGTTCGTTTTGGAAGGATGTGCCGTGTTTTTAACCTGCGGGATGCTCTGTTCCTGGGGAAGAGCCTGGAAGCACCAGGGATCTGAGTTTCTGCTGGGACCACCCCAGCTTTCTTGCTGCAGTGATTTTGGGGCAGGAATTGGGGACTGGTTGGGTTGGAGCGGGGGCTCTGCCTGCATGGGGTTTGTCTGGAGGGCTGATTGGTATTCGTGTTGTACCAGCAGTCTGGCTTTCTTAGAGGAGCCTCAGGGAGCCAGAGGTGGCCTAAATGTGATGTTTCAAGCCTTGCTGGGTGCTTTTTTTTTATCTTCAGGTGTTAGGTGTAAAATTTTCTTTAACCTTCTGGTGACGGAGATGATCAGGCAGAGGATGGGGTTCAATTTTTGGCGTCTGTAGCCGCAGATCTGTTCCTTGATGTGTTTGGTGATGCTTGTTTCTGCGATTACAGCAATCGAGGTGGACCAAAGGGAGCCACGGGCCCTGTAGCCTGGAAAGATGCTGTGCTGTAAGGAACACCTGCTGATTTAGCACCTCTTTTCCCTTGCACTTCCCAGCAAATCCAGTTCGCAGATGACATGCAGGAGTTCACCAAGTTCCCAACCAAGACGGGCCGTCGATCCTTGTCCCGCTCCATCTCGCAGTCTTCCACCGACAGCTACAGCTCCGGTAGGTGCTGGGCTCCTTGTCCATGCCTGAGCCTCTCCCAAATCTGGTGTTGGTGCCGCTGTGAATGTGCTTCTTGCTCCGTGTGTCAGGATGCTCCATGCTGCTGTGTTGTACTTGGATGTGGAGGGGATAATTCTGGGGGGTCCTGAGGCTCAGGCATTGATTTCCAGTTGATAACCCAGTTAGTTCTGGGTTGTTGTAGGGAGCAAGAGTGCAAAATTCCTTCTGGGCATTGGCTTTCCTTAGGAGGTTTGTAGTTTGAGCTGAGTGTGCGTGTGTGAAAGCTGGGAGACGAAATGGAGCAGAAACCTGAAGGGGTAGGAGGTCCCTGGACTCCTGAGACCTGGGGTAACACGCATTCCTCTCCCGGCTTTAGCTGCCTCCTACACCGACAGCTCTGATGACGAGGTGTCCCCCCGAGAGAAACAGCAAACCAACTCCAAAGGCAGCAGCAATTTCTGTGTGAAGAACATCAAGCAGGCAGAATTTGGGCGCCGGGAGATTGAGATCGCTGAACAAGGTAAAAGTGGAACGTGGGGTTTGTGGGGCTTGCAGCCGGGTGCTCTGCTCTCTGGAGACCAGGAGCTGAGCCGTGACAATTTCACAACTCACCCTGCAGCCTCAGATACCCTGTCTTTTCCCCCCCCATCAAATCACCAGATTATGTGGGGAAGAGCTAGGCACAACAGCAAACGTTAATGGTGTGTGGCATCCATTTTCTAATGACAGAAGGGCTCTTGCAGGGTTTAATGTTCTGGTGGCTTTGGATGAGAAACCTCAATGGGCAAGGAACTTGCAACGCCATCAGAGACATGAAAACTGACAGTCCCAACCCCTTCCCCTGGGGTTTGTGGGAAGCTGAGTTACCATTTCCAGTGGGTTGATTGGGTAACTTGCTTTCAGGCTCCTTTTACACACATGCTGCCAAAGCCTTAGAACGGGAAGATAATCCAGGCCCATTTAGAGCGGCTCTTCTGAGATGTGGCAGCACTGTTTTCAGCTTCTTTAGGTGCTTTTCCATGATGCTGTTCTGCTGCAGGGCTGGTGACTGTCCTTAGCTGGGGCACATCAGGCGCCTTCCTTGGGTCGTGCCTGTCCCAGACCGCTCTCGTTACGTGGTCAAGTGACAAATGACACCGGTGTTTTGGTCCCATTTTGGACAGACCTGCCAGGCCAGGGATGAGGAGTTTTCTCTCCAGCTGTGTAATGACTGTAGCAAAAATTGTGGGGCTGGATGTAGCCTGGGAGACCCCAGAAAGGAGAGTGGGTCTGGCAGAGAGGGGCCTCTTTGGACTAAGCTGTCATTAAAACCCCTCTGTTCCTTCTGCAGACATGTCTGCTCTGATTTCACTCCGGAAACGAGCTCAAGGGGAGAAGCCTTTGGCTGGAGCTAAAATCGTGGGCTGTACCCACATTACAGCACAGACTGCGGTGAGTGGCTGCTTATTTGGGGCATCTGGGGTAGGAGAGACCAGTTTTTCCCCAGGGAAGAAAGTCCCCTAAGTTTCCCAGCCTTGGGCAATTGGAGGAGGCACCTTCACTTTTCTGGAAGCATCTTGGAAAGGTTCTGCCGCGTGTGTTTCCCCAGGGCAGTGTTTGCTGGAGCCGATCTCTCATCGGTTCCTCGCTGCCTGTTGCACAAGGCTGTGCTTGGGGCTGTGCTGGCGTGCTCGTGTCCATCACCGCTCCCCCTGTTGTCTCGCAGGTGCTGATCGAGACGCTGTGCGCGCTGGGAGCGCAGTGCCGCTGGTCTGCCTGTAACATCTATTCCACCCAGAACGAAGTGGCGGCTGCCTTGGCAGAAGCTGGTGAGTACAGCTGAGCCGAGGGACGCGGAGCCCTTCCAGCCCCTCCTGGCTCTGTAGCTTTGTCCCAGCCAGCCGGTTTAAGGAACAGTTTGGACCACAGATCTTTTAGGGAGGGATAAACAGGTCTGACCCGGCTGTGGGCTGTGGTTTGGTCTCTGCATGGCCCCTTGGCCTGCCCGTCTGTGGCTTTCCTGAGTTGGCCAAGCAGGAGAGAGCTCTGCCAAACTCGGCAGATGCCAAGGATGCTCCTCTTCTTCTAGGTGTTGCTGTGTTTGCCTGGAAGGGAGAGTCGGAGGACGACTTCTGGTGGTGCATTGACCGCTGTGTTAACGTAGATGGCTGGCAGGCCAACATGGTAATGAGCATTCTTCCAGTCCTTCCTCTTCTTCCATGGAGTGGTCACTGGGTGCTCCTCACCCTTCCCTCCTTGGGGCTGTTTCTGGGAGCCTGCTGGGGCTGCCTGGGCATCTGCTGGCATCGCAAAGGCCTCTGAGCCCCCCTTAAAGTTGGGTTCCTGGAGAACAGCAGCCAGTGCTAGGGTTGGGGGCCACTGTGGGCGTTGCGGGAGCTGCTGAGACAGTGTCCCGAGTTGGTACAGCCCAACGGCATGGGAGCATCTCCTGCTGGAGCTGCCAACGAGTTGAGAAACCACAGGACCTCTTTCCCCCCAGGGTCAGCCCTCCGGGAGTTGCCCCAACCACTCCTCTCTCAACACAGATCCCATTCATGCTCTCCCAAAGAGCTAGTGGTCTCCGCAGGGGACCTTTCCCTTGCCAAAAGCAGATGACGCCTCTAGCTGCCTTGACGGCATGGTCCGTGATCACTGATGATGCAATAGCACGTGTCAGTGGGCCGTGACAGCTCCCGCAGCCTTTCCTCTCGACAGTTTGCTTTCAGGGCATGAATGTTGTGGCATCCTTCTCATCTCAGCCTGTTTAGTTAGTGCTGCCTGTGGTAACGTTTCCAGGCTGCAGAGCAATAGCAAGGGCAGAAAACCCTCTTAGGATCCATCAGCTCCACGCGGGGGGTAAGAAATCCTTTATGTTTTGGAGGAGACCCTGAGGTCCTGGCAACTAGGTGAACCCAGGGGTCCTGGCCCCCAGGTCTCTGCCCAAACAGCCCTCCATTGGTGCCTGAAGGTGCTCTCCACCTCTTTTTCCCTGTCCTATGCCCAGAGAGTGCTTTTCCCAGTGGAAGGCCTGACTGCTCCATGTTCTTGCTTGCCTGTTCTCTAGATCCTGGATGATGGTGGGGACCTGACCCATTGGGTTTATAAGAAATACCCTAACGTATTCAAGAAGATCCGAGGGATTGTGGAGGAGAGCGTGACTGGTGTGCACAGGTAGGAGATCTGGGAAGGCTGATCTGGAGATCTGTTGGGTTGCTGGTCTCCGCTCTGACCTGCATCTGTCCTCTTCCAGGCTGTACCAGCTCTCCAAGGCCGGGAAGCTCTGTGTCCCAGCCATGAATGTGAACGACTCCGTCACCAAACAGAAATTCGATAACCTATATTGCTGCCGGGAATCCATCCTGGACGGGTGAGTCCAACCCTTCTCCCCACCTGCACTGTCACTCCCTGTTGTGGTTTAACCCCAGTCGGCAGCTAAGCGCCACACGGCGTCTCGCTCACCCTCCCCATCCCAGTGGGATGGGGGAAGGAATTGGAAAAAAGCCCTAAAACCCATGGGTTGAGATAAAGACAGTTTAATAGGATGGCAAAGGAAGAGAAAATAATAATAATGATAAGAGAATATACAAAACAAGTGATGCACAGTGCAATTGCTCACCACCCACCAACCAATGCCCAGCCTGTCCCCGAGCAGTGATTGTAGCTCCCTGGCCAGCTCCCCCCAGTTTCTATACTGGGCATGACGCCCTATGGTCTGGAATAGTCCTGGGGCCAGTTGGGGTCGGCTGTCCTGGCTGTGCCCCCTCCCAGCTCCTTGTGCCCCTGGCAGAGCAGGGGGAGCTGAAAAGGCCCTGCCTGGTGTAAGCACAGCTTAGCAACAACTAAAACATCCGTGTGTTATCAACATTGTTCTCATCCTAAATCCAAAACACAGCACTATGCCAGCTACTAGAAAGAAAATTAACTCGATCCCAGCCGAAACCAGGACACCCTCACACCGCTGGATTTGGCTCCAGCTCCTTTTGAGCAGAGATTGGGCTCTTTGCTGCTTTGCCCTTGCTGTGTGCTTGCAGGACCTGATTTTGGGGGCTCTTGCAGCAGAGCGCTGCCCTGCGCCGTCAGCGGGGTGCGCTTGACTAATCCCAACGCAGGTCTCTCTCTGTCCCCCAGCCTGAAGAGGACCACGGATGTGATGTTTGGAGGGAAGCAAGTGGTGGTCTGTGGTTATGGGGAGGTGAGTTTTGTAAGTGGCAGTCGGTGGAGCTGTGAGTCAGCCTTCCCCTGAGCTCTTCTGCTTCTTCCCTGTGCAAAGACCACGTGCCCTTGATATAGGAGTAGATCAAACCTGGTGAGCCATTACCAGGGAAATCTTGCTAGAACCTGCTGGGAGGCTGGAGAACAAGCGTCAGATTTCCCAGTTTGCCTGCAGATTAGCTGGGCTGCAAATCCGACAGTTGCTGGGAACGCTGGCCTGAATTGTAACTACCCATGGGTGCTCCCATCTGCTGTCCCTGGACCGAGTTCAGCATGCAGCCCGGCTGTCACCGAGCCTGTGACAGAGGAGGCGGAGGGGCAGGCTGCATCTCGCTGGTGGGTAATGTTCTGGCAGAGGGGAATCGTATCACAAACTTGTAAATGATTCTGCCCTGGAAGAGCATGGAGCCGGGAGCTGACACCTTCCCTCCATCTGTGCACTGTCTGCGTGGGTGTTTATCTTCCCGCACTGCGAAGGGCCTGGCAGTAGCTGCAAATGGGCTGCTCTGGCTCTTGCCCAGGCGCTCCGGGGTGGTGTCTGATTCTCCAGCCATGAGTTGTGCTGGGAGTTGTAGTCTCCAGGGCCTGTCCTGAGTTTTACTGGACAAGGGAGTCCTTCCACCCTCACTTGTTTTTCCCCTTTGGATGTGGGTTGGAGTCCCAGTTTGCCCTGACTGGCTGTTTTCGATAGACCTGAGGTGGGAGCTGGGTGATAAGTGAGGGTGTCTCTGGGGATGTTTCTTACCCAGCAGCATCTTGGTGGTCCGAAAATGGGGCTGAGCATGGGTACATGCAGATTAGCCAGGTGACAGTGTGGGTAAGTGGTGTGGAGAGCCGGACTTCAGTTTAATTTTGTAGTGAGGAGAAGGGATAGAGTCAGAGATGCTGTTACAGGAGCTCTGCTCTCCCCCATGCTGATGTGGGGAGCATGGGGTGGAGGATCTGTCCCCCGATCAGTGCCGAAGAAACCCTTGGGCTTAAAGGCAAGTGAGGGAAGTGCATGCTTATCCAGACTGGCTTTAATCTCCTCTTGGAGGAGCTCAGAAGGGCTCCTGCGATGCTGGGGGCTGCGCAGGCTGCGAGCATGTTGGTTTTGGGAAGCTCATGACAGCTGGTGGCCATGCTGGAGGGCTGGTGGCCTTGGAGGGGGAGCTGGGCTTGCGGCAGAAGTGCCACTCGCCAGGTACATTGTTGAGCTGCTCCTGGCATCGGGCAGATGGCTGGGATGAGCATCTCCCAGCCTGGGACGCACTCGGGCTGTTTTAGGGAAGGGATTGTAGCACTCGACGCATCCCCTGCTCAGCTTCACGTGGATGCTTTGCCTCGGCAGGTCGGCAAGGGATGCTGCGCCGCTCTGAAAGCCTTGGGCGCGATCGTCTACGTCACGGAGATCGACCCCATCTGTGCTCTCCAAGCTTGGTAAGATGTTACACGCTGCTTGTGACCGTCTCTTCCTCGGCTCTCTGGCCTCCTTTAAACCCTGACAGAGGCTGGAACAGAGCCAGGAGGATCTGTGGCTCATTTCGGAGAACACATATCATGTTGGGTTGTGGTGGGGAAGGGCTGGGGCAGCTTTCAGGGCCGTGGGGTACCAGGCGGTAGGCACCTGCACCAGCTGGCTTGGGAAGGCAGCTCGAGGGTTTGTGCAGGGCTGGCTGCATGCTCCACACGTCCCCCGGCTCCTCCAACATTTTGTGAGAGCAGGTTTGACACTGCGTCCTTTGCACAGCCCTTCCTCTTACATCTGGTGTCCTTGGGGATGTGGAAGGATCGTCTTGGCTGCTGTGTGAGCAGTTGGGAGCTGCTGCAGCAATACAGCACTGAGATCCCTCCTGGCCTGGGGCAGAGAGGGGGACAGGCTTCTCCTGATTGTGGTCCCTCTCCCCCTTTTTTTGCCAGCATGGATGGATTTCGGGTGGTGAAGCTGAGTGAAGTAATCCGTCAGGTGGATGTCGTCATCACCTGCACAGGTAGGGATGGAGGAGGTCATGGGTGAGCTTCGGAGCAGGCTGAGAAGGAGCAGTTGTTCCCAAGCAGGTGTCTCAGGGGCTCTGCGGGAGCTGGGGGTGGAGGACACTTTGCTGCCGCGTGCCTGCTAATTTTACAAGAGCGATAGCTGGGCTTTGGCAAGAGCTTTCCCTCCTACCCGCCCCAGTCTATTTGGACACAGCCCCTGGGAGGAGGGACATCGCAGCCATGTGTCCCCAGGGGTATTTTGGGGTCTCCTAGAGGCTGGTTAATTTGTGGGACCAAAGATCAGCACTCATCCCATGTGTTTCTTCGTTGTCACAGCCAGGAGGGCTCTTGTTCTGGTTAAAATTCATCTGATGTTGCCCCAAGCTGAGCTTCTGTGACCCGAGTGCAGGGAAGGAGAAATCAGGGGGTTTGTATTTCCACTGCCTTGGGTTCATCTGTGCCCTCCCTGCAGGAAACAAGAACGTCGTGACCAGAGAACACCTGGATCGGATGAAGAACAGCTGCATTGTGTGCAACATGGGCCACTCCAACACCGAGATCGACGTGGTGAGTCTGCCTGCCGCCTCGACGGCTGCGTCCACCCCGCCGTCCTCCCGCGATGACTCCAGCCTCTTCCTCCTGCTCTTGCAGACCAGCCTCCGGACCCCGGAGCTGACCTGGGAGCGTGTCCGCTCCCAAGTGGACCACGTCATCTGGCCGGATGGGAAGCGGGTGGTGCTGCTGGCCGAGGTGCGCCGAGAGCCGTGCCACGACGTTGCTTTGGGCCTCTATTGGGAAATCACTGCGTGCCAGAGTTGGTAACAGAGGTTTAACCAGGTGGAAAGGTGCTGGGGCACCTCATGCCTCGGAGGAGGTTTAGAGGTCAGGAAAGGGTTTCCTGACTTATGTATCCTCTTATTTTCCTTTTCTTGAGGCAGGGGAGGTATCGTGTACCACATGTAGCCATAGAGGTGCCATCTGGCTCTGTCCTTTCGAGCCAGGAGCCACCCCTATCAGCCAAACGCCGTCTGCTTCTGGCTTTGGCAGGGTTTCCCGTGCAGCCAACTGGCTGGGTGTCTTCTCTTCCCACTTGAGCTCTCCTGGCAGTAGGGAGGGACTGGCTCTTTCTAGGGACCACAAAATCACCTTGTCTTAAAGCTAAGGGTTGGGGAGGAAACTGAGGCAGAGTTTGAACACTCTGGTCACATAGGTGGCACTTGAATTGTGGTGCTGTGGTCTCCCCCTGCCCCAGGGAGCAGGTAGAGGTGAACCCTATCTTGAGACTCGATTTGGTTTGGCTTTGGGGGCAAGTTCAGCTCTCTGCAAACTCCTCCTGCTGTCTCCTAGGGCCGTCTTCTCAACCTGAGCTGCTCCACGGTTCCCACCTTCGTTCTCTCAATCACAGCCACCACTCAGGTCCGTATGCTGCAGGGCCGGGGTGCGAGGGGTGGGGGATGCTCTGGGGCCTTGGACAAGCCTCGGAGTGGGGACGGTATGGAAGAAGCTGGAAACCCGCAGTTGGATGGGTCTTTGGGATGGCGCCGGTGCCAGAGATACCGTAGCCACCACCTCTTGGCTGGGATACAGTTAATGGTGATGTGAGCTTACTGCTGTGGTTACAGCCGGGAGAGCTTTTAAGTGAGCCAGGCTTTGTGGCAGAGCTCCCGCTGTGCTGTAAGCCACTGGAGAGCTCCCCTAGCACAGGTTTAAGCTTACCTCAAAGCAAGGCTTTGCTTTGTCTTCGGACTCTTGATTTCCACATCACTAAAAAAAAACCCAAACAACACCCTAAGGTGAGTTTTGGGGATCTGGAGGCCAGTGATTAAACTGCTCCCCAGCATCAGTGC